TATAAAATTAATCCCATTTATCCAGATATTTGACTGAATACAACAGAATTAAGACAACACCACCAATAATGGCATGAAAAATATTGGCCTGTGGTTAAAGAAGATGCTTATTCATGCATTCATTAATTGAAACACTTATTATTTATTGTGCTCTGGGGATTCCAACAGATGAGAAAAACAGACCACGTAGGAGCACATGCCCACATGGCCAAGGCATGTCATCTATGGTATATTTCAGTGGTTCTCAACTTGTGGGAGAGAGGAGCATCTGTACCCACTCTCCTTGGATGCTCCCTAAAATGCAGATTCCTGTCTCATTTCCTGCTAAAGCACAGTTTCTATTTCACTGGAATTGCACCATGAAACTATGGCTTGAGCACTATTAGTATTCTCACTTCAGAGATAAGAAAACATGCACAGGTAGGTTAAACAAATTGACTAAGGTCACCCAGCTGGCTGCAACAAGAACATAGGGGTAATTCCCAAATCCACTCTCTTAACCCCTCAAGGTTATACACTTCATTCTTGACCCTTTTAAACCTCTTTCCCCCAGCACTGGAACGTACAAGACCCTCACCTCTACAAGTGTGTGGTCTGCAGGCCAGCATCATCAGGACCACCTGCGAGTTTGTTAGAAGTGCAAATCCTTGAATCCCACCCCAGATGTACTGGAAAATCTGCATTTTAACAAGATCCGCCAGCCATTCATGAGCATTAGGAAGTTTGAGAAGCGTGCATCAGATTACTGATGAACACAAACACAAAAAGCAGAGTAATTCTTGTATCTCCCAACATCTTTTGAGAGGAGTTTTCCTTCTTAAGCACCCAGTTATTTCAGACTGAACAACTGCTAGCTCCGAGAGTGACAGGAATAAATCCTAGTGTCTCCTGCCACCTTGTGGTAAGAAGTTCCAACCCACACAGAATTTGTTCTCCAACAAATAAACGGGGCAATATTGGAAGGGAGGGGTGGACCAGGTCCTCAACTTTTTCAGCTGTGTACTTTGAGTGACTACTACAAAACTCCAAGATACAATGAAATAGCCCTTGGGGTACATTTTGAGATATCCAGACAACAACTGGTCTTTTGATGTGTGTCTCACAGGATAGAGAATGCATTCAGCAGCTCTAATTGAGAGATCTAACAAGTTCAGTTTCTGTTGATCAACAGATCCCTGGCATTCCTATAGGTTCCTTCCCCTTTGAAATTCAAACATGCATATCTGAATGTGGTGGTCACTTGGCGTGTGGGTGTTTTTTTATTGCTTATCTAAATGGCAGTGGTTAGACAATCAGATCACTATTTCTGCATTTGCCTTGTCCAAGAATCTACAGTGTTCCACGAAGTACCATGGAATTTCAGACAGCTCTGTCAAATGCATCATTGGTGACCTCTGTGAAGTTGTAAGCAGGGGCAGTCCCACAAATGATGTCTCTAACTCCTGGAAGGGAATAAGGAAAACACTCCAAAAATTTCCTACGTACTTTACCCCGAACAGCCTAGACCTTGACAGTGCACTCAGTAACAGGATGATTTTGTTGCGAAGCCTGTAAGCTCAAGAGCTGAGCTAAGGAAACCCAAAACAGCTACTACAGGCGAAGCTGACAGCAATGGCCCGCCCTCAGCTGTATCTACCAGAACGCTTCAAGGTTGCCTGTGGGAAAGTTGGCCAGTGTCGAAGATTCCAGCAACTGAAAAAGAAAAATGGCTCATTCAAAAGGAAAGGAATGGAAAGGTAGGTAATGGGGACTCAATTTTCTTTTCTGTTGACTGAGAGTTTTTGGGTTTCACTTAAACAAAATTCGCTGTGACGATTAGAAAAAGTAGCATCTCTTTTTAAGCATTACGTTTAGAAATGAAGACTCTATATGGATCGGGGGTGACGGGAGTTACTGCACTGGATCAGGAAACTTAGTGCCATAGTGGGAGCCTCGTATTATGATCAGAAAAGTCTTAATTGTAACAGAGAAAACCTCTACTTTCTACCTGAATGTGAGTTTTGATGTGGCATATGAGACTAAAATAAGTAGTAGGTTAACATTTCAGCATCAGAATTTTAGACATCCCACACCCCAGGCAAATACTATTATTTTGAAAATTCATTAGTACGTTCTTCAAAATAAGTCCACAATCAATGCTTTTTTTTACCTGTCCCAGCAATTTTGGCTGTTGAAATATGTACTAATCATATTTCACTGATACGCACACTTTTTTTTTTTTGGCTGGTCAAGTGACATGTGCACACTCTTTAATGTAACATTAAAACTGTCTTAGATCAATGACAAAGCCATAAAGACAAGTATGAAACATTCAAAACATAATACATTTTAATTTGGAAAGTCAGCATGGTGATTTATTTTTCAATTTCTTTAGGCTTTTCTCTTATCAGGTCCATGAGCTAAAGCTCAGACATGGAGAAGTGAGGTGTTTTCACCGGGCCTGAGGTGCCAAAGACCAAAATTCTGAACTTACATGGACAAAATAAAATACTGTGGAGATCTCTGCTTTCAATAAGAAATAGGGGCTCAAGGATGGGCGCGGAGGCTCACGCCTGTAATCCTGGCACTCTGGGAGGCTGAGGCGGGAGGATTGCTTTAACTCAGGAGTTAGAGACCCACCTGAGAAAGAGACGCCCTTCACTCTA